TATAACAAAAATGCTTCCTTTAAAAACTCGCACAGTAATTTACGTTTTTCATCAAGATAATCGCGAAGTTTTATAATATCGTCCATTGAAGGTAGTTCCGTTTTTTACATCTTCTATTTTCTTCCTGCGCTTCCAAAGCAGCTTTATTAACACTAGTTGGAAAATCATCAACGAGAAGAGCAAGGAATTCTTCAGTATCTTTTTTCGTTTCATAATCTTTCTTCTTTATACTTTGAGTAATTAAAAGATTTCCTACTTTTTAAGTAAAGTTCCCATTAGTTGTGGTGTTGTTGTCACTTTGTATGTATTTGTGCTATCGTCAAATGCAGACATCCTATTAACTGCTTTGATACAATCTTCATAAAATGTTGGCTGAAAAATTGACTTCATGTCTGTAACTTGAGCATTAAGTCTCTCATTACTTTTAAGAAACGACCAAGATATCTAAGATGTGAACGAATTAACTTATGCTGATATTGTTTGCGATATTTACGGCATAATCTGTTACCAAACATAATAATTAACTCGTCATATCGAATCAAACGTGTTATTTCATCCTCTCTGAGTGCAGGAAAAACTACTTTTCGCAATGTTTCTTCTGCAATTGGATTAATGCGTCCAATAACCGCTCTGCCCATAACTAACACTGATCTAGTTTGTTTACTACCGTAGCTTGTACATTGTTTGAAATGGCGTCTGAGACTTGTTTTCACAAAAAAACCCCTTGCATTTTGCACAAGCCGTATAATCTTTGCGCTTTTCTGCTTATCTTTTCGAGGGCGCCTGCATACAAGAAGTTTTCCTTCATTAATATTACTATTAGTGTTATAAATAAATTGCCATTTCTTCTTATTGTTTCAATTATTTTTTTTCTTTCCAAATTATTTGGACAAAGATCAATGAACTTTTTAACTTCAGGTTTATTACGATGTACTGTAGCAAGATGTCGAGCAATCTTTGATTGCATTTTTCGGCAATAAAAACAGCAGTTTTTCTTATTGCCACCTTTAGATCCTTCAGATGGATCAATATTAAGATTAGTGTCATCAGGACAAATTACATTGCTGTTATTAATCTGTATAGATACTTCAAAACCCGAATTGTTTGAATCTTTATTTGATCCACTTAATGCTTTCTATTATTAGTTGTATCAGGAAAGTCATTATTAGATTCTGTTTCTATCAAAATAGAACTGTGTTCAGAAGGACAATATTCTGAATCCGAATTTTCTTTATGTGTCGTGGAATCAAAACATTCAGACCTAATAAAAGAGAACATACATTAAATATTAGAATACATAATTGGTATAAAAAGTGTGTATTGGATAGATTAATATTAATTTAGCTTTATATATTATATTATATATATATATATTATATATACATTTATATATATATATATTAGGTATTTATATATTTTATTATACTTATCTAGTAAATTATAGTAAATTATTACTTTCTTATTACGTTAAGCATTATATATGTATCCGAGTAAAAAAATACTAATTTTCAAATTTGAATGCAAAACTTACAAACAAATAATAAGTCATGGATTAATGCTTTCAAAGTTTTAACGAAAAAATAAATGATAATAAGACTTACTGTTATTGTCCTGACAATTATTGTAGTCCTTTTCTAATAACTCATTATTGAGACTTTTAGTCGGGTTGTCAATAATGTACTCAGTATTATTATATGTTCTTTCAATACTGTCTGTGAACGTTGAATGCAAAACTTCTTAAACACAAATAAGAAGTTATGAGTTAATGCTTTCAAAATTTTAACGAAAAAGTAAATATGATAATAAGACTTACTGTTATTATCATCCTGACACTCATTGTAGTCCTTTTCTAATAACTCATTATTCAGACTTCTACTCGAGTTATCAAAAATGTACTCAGTATTATTATGATCTGTTCTTTCAATACTATCTGTAAAATTATACAAAAATATTTAATGATATAAATATAAATTCTACTTTTAACTAAAATTCGATTAAATTCTCCATTGTTTTATGAAAAAGTTTTATAAGAATTTCTACGCATACAATACTTTACTAACATTAAGTCTTTAAAACGTATATTTAATAAAACAAAATAAATAATATTTACTTGAGTCAAAAACTATATTTCTTAATGCATACCATCAATAGAAATATTGCTAACATTCTCTTCCACAAAATGCATAAAATTTTCATTGCTGTCACGTATACAACTCAGCGGTGAGGAAATCGGTATATTTTCCTTGTTCTTTGATGTATTTTCATCATAGTCATTACAGATCGGAATAATATTAGTGTTACTAATGGATGATTGAGAAGAAGGAAGGTGAAGTTGTTCATCACTATACACATAAAAAATATAAAATTTCTTTTTAGTAACATTAACAAAAAATAATTGCGCTCAATATGATTAAAAGTAATAAATAATAAAATATTGAAATAATAAAAACGTTACAATACTAAAAGTTTGAATATGCGAAAAAATTCATATATTGATATATTTCATTATTTTGTCATTTTCCAACATGAACTTCTATAACAATTATCCAATATTTTACAATTACTCATATTTAATAAGTGAATATTAGAGACATAAATGGAAAATTTATAATTTCTAATTTACTAACACATAATCAATAATACTTGATGAAAGAATTAATTGTTAAAGAAAGTAATTTAATCACATATATGTATGTAAATGATTGATTAATAAACAATTAACGAAAATATAAAAAACACAAAAAGCTTTACTAAAAAAAAAAAAAAAAATAAAATTTTTAAAGTATTAATCTTTTATAAATTATGAATTCCTCATAATTTCCAATGAAATATGATAAAGATATATATATAAAATATATAAATTACTAAAAGTAAAATAAAGTTAGGTTAGGTTCTATTTCATTCCCTCAGGGGCACTACAGACTCATCCCTGTAGTGTACGGGTGTCGCAATCCCGAGGTACCCGAGCTGGAGTGCGTGCGAAGGATGAATGGGGCGTGATGGGCGTGCAGGCCCTAAAAAGGACTTGTCCACTGCACTAGGTGAAGGAAAACACCGAAGATAACACCCGGGGGGGAGGCCCCGTTAGCTGAGTAAGGCAACCTCCTAAGGGGAAGAAAACCCCCGACAGAAAAAACCAATTTCTTCTTTTTCAGACATGGATAGTTCCAAAGAAGAAGCGATCGTCCTGGGATCGGATACCAGGAATCGGCGTGGGGGGGTGTAGGCCTGGCTCCCTCCATGTCGTCAACAGACGACAGGTCGTCTGCAGCTTTGCCGGCTGGGGCTGCAGACAAGACAGCGACAGTGCCGAGGAGTGATAGGGACACGGTGCGTGATCGGTTACGCGGCCTAGCTCATAGCTGGGATACTCGTGATCGAAGTGTTGATCCGAAGGAACTTGCTGCGCGTATTCGCCGAGTCCTTCTGGATAAAGTGGTTCGGAGCTATCAGGCCCATCATGAATATAAGGACCTCGCGAAATGCATGGACGTCTTTTTTCGGGAGTGTTCGCGACGTGAAACGGAGTTTCTGTGCAAACACGTTTGTGTACAGTTTCTTCGAACCAGTTATTGCGGTTAGTACTGCAGACTCATTGACTGGAGGAACAGTAGATGGGGAGAGTGACTGTTCTCAGCCTCTTCCCTCACCGGAAAAAGGGCGGGGTGATAGTGATGATGAGGGGATGGAAGCTGCTGATCCGTCTTTCGTCACGCTACCCTCGTCAAGCTCCCCAGAGACCAGTGGGGCAGGACGAGACAGGGATGTTTCTTGGGCTCCCGAGGACAAGAGGGTCTTGACAGGGAGGAAACAATACCCGCGCAAGAAAACTACAGGTAAGTCCTTTACAGGTAAAAGAGGTCGCCCCATTACAACTGGGGATTATGCTGGTTTAGCGGCTGAAAAGGAGCGTCTTAATGCTGCCATAAAAGAGTCGCTCAAATTAGAGTATGCGAAAAGAGTTCTAGACCCTTCTTTTGGTCCAACTCTGACTGCTGTTGGTCCGATGAATATTCCTTCGGACACAGCATTTATGGAGGAACTGAAGGGGATTACCACCGTGGAGCTCCGTAGGCTGGGAGAGAGGTTTGTGACCCAAGTCGAGAGGGTGGCCGGACTCCCTGGCCTTGGCGAGGTCATGGCTGAGGAGCTCCGGATCTCCTCAAGGAAACTTGGAGGAGTCATTAGTGAGGCTGTTTTCTCGAACAACTGCGGAGGCTGATCAAGGATGGATTCATTAAGAAGTGAAAACCAGGGTCTGAGAGTTCGTGTTACAGCCCTGGAGCGGGAGGTCGATAGATTGACGGAGAAAATAGGTTTTTTCTTCATTCGGCATCCCTCAGATTGAAGGGTTTTATCTTGAAGATAAGGGAGCTAAAAGAGACCTCGCCCACCCTCTTTGGAGGGATCACCGCCTGTCTCGGCTGCGGTGGCGAGTCCTTTGGTCGAGGACCGACCAATTATGCTTTCCGATTTGTCGTCCCTTCTGGACCGTCGCTTAAGTGACTTGAGGGACGACATATCGATTTCAGTGATGACCTCAATTAGGTCGGAACTTGCGGGGCGGGCTGGGACTGCTCCTCTTTTGGGGGAGTGGTTGCTATGCGTGCGCCTGCAGCGAGTCGAGGTGGAAGCGCAATTGTGCAGACGGTGACCCCCTGCCTGGGGGCTCCGCTGCCTCCGTTAACCTGGAGGTTTCGGCGGATGCCTCTGTCCGTGGGGTCACCACGAGGATTAGGCGTAGTAGGCGTAGGAGGAGGTCGGGTGCAGGGGTTAAAGATCTTCCCACGGATACCCCGTCTCTGAAGGAGAAAAAAGGGACTCGTAAGTCCCTCTCCCTAAAAGGAAAGAAGGAGACCCGTATTTCTCGCCCCTCTTCCTCGTCGGTGATATCGCTGACGATGGGGAGGGAGAGATGGAAAAAGGGAGGACTTATGCCTCGGTTCTGTCCGAGGCTAAGTCAAAAATAGATATTAAGGAGCTGGAGATTAGCTCCATGCGTTTACGAAGGGGTGTAACGGGTAGTATACTACTGACAGTCCCGGGAAAGGACTCAGCATCGAGAGCAAACGTACTCACGTCCAAGTTGAGAGATGTGTTTCCATCTGGGTGCGTTAGAGTCGGTCGCCCTTCCCGAATGGAGGATGTTCGGCTGAGGGGCTCTATGTACTCGGTGAAGAGGCAGAAAATCCTTGAAGAGGTCGCTCTATTTGGGGGCTGTAGTGTGGAGGACATTAGGGCTGGAGGAATTTGTCTGTTCCCCAATTCGTTCGAGGGTACGATTTGGATCCGCTGCCCTGCTATTGTGGCGCGGAAATTGGTGATGGCAAGGAGGTTATCTATCGAGGGGGGTGGACGACGCTGGAGGTTATCCATCTGGCTCGTCGTCCACTCCAATGTTTTCGGTGTCACGAGTTTGGTCACTCGGCCAATGCTTGTGGCGCAGGTGTAGACCGCAGTAACAACTGCTACAGGTGTGGTGGCTCGGGGCATAAGGCGGCCAATTGCGTGGCGCCGCCCCGATGTCATTCGTGTGCGTCCAGGGGGAAACCCTCTGGACATCGCTGTGGGTCGACAGTTTGCGCTCGCGTGCGCGTGCCTCCTAAGAGGTGTCGGGAGAGCGCGCCTGCTGCTGAGCGCGTTCAGGCTCCGGGGCGCCCCGATGGGGGGCCTGCGAGCCCGGAGTGGACGAGGGTAGACTGTGGCCGGGGGCGGGGGAAGTCGCGGAGAGGCGGCTCCCCCGTGCCTGGCTGCAGTTCTGCCCCCGATGTTTAGTGTCGGTTTTGTCCTTTGTTGTCGTAGTGTGTAGCGGTGGGTGCGGGGAGTTCTGGGGAGGTTGCCGAGAGGTGACTCCGTGGTCTCCCTGCCCCGCCAAGTTTATGTTGTAGGTTGCGGCGATGGGTGATGGAGCGCCGGGGAGGTTGCCGAGAGGTGACTCCGCGGCCTCTTCACCCACGCCAAGTTTATGTTGTTCATAGTTATTGTCCTTTGTCATAGGTGGGAGTAACAACCCTCCCACCTTTATTGTGGTTGGCCATAGGGTCTTGTTGTGGGCTCCCTTGGGGGCTGGGCCTGTGGCCCTTACTATGTATTAATGTGGTTTGTGTACATGTTTCGTGCACGTTATGTACTATAATCGTCCTGTGACGTTTCGTGTGTGGGTGGGTGACTGCGGTCACCTCACTTACCGGGTTGGCAGAGAGAGGGGTGGGGGCCCCGCTCTCATTGCACGTCGACCCTGGGAAGTCTGGGGGGAGCTAGTAGCCCGGCTCCCCTCGATGCCCTTTCGGGGCAAGGGATGTCCTCTCCGGGGAGATACCTGTAGTATCCTCTCGGGGATGTGTCCTTCCTAAAGGACGCCGGTCGGGTGTCCACCGTGAAGTTATGCTAACGCGGTTCCGCGGTGGACAATACCCATACAACCAGGGGCTTCAGTCAGGTTTTAGGTCGGTCCCCCGCCCGATAGTCCCTCGGGATACTACGGGCGGGAATCCACCACAAAGCCTCCTGATCCTCCCTCAGGGGTCAGGACGGCGAAGTTTGGTTTAGGCAAATTTCCTGACTATAAAAAAAAAAAAAAAGGTTCTATTTCATAGAAGAACAAATTAAACGAATACTTAATAAATATAAACAAATATTACCTATCACATATTAATTTTTATCACGAACTTGGCGTCTTTTAAGTAATCGTAATTCTCTATTATTTACATTAACAGACTGTTTGTTCGCCACTTGTTCGACATTTTGAAGTGGTTTTGTCATTAATTGTGTTGACGAAAGTAAATCAGCTAAAACAATTTCTATTATTATTATCATATACACCATGTTTATGTACATAAAACTGCAAGATGCGAATTTAATATGTATACATGCACGTTAGAAGAAGCAAGCAATATATAAACAATACACTCTTAATAAATCAAATCAATAAAAGTAAAGATATTGAATAAGAAAAGCTTTCCAAAAATTATTTATATTCAGATATGTTAAATATATTATAGGCATTTAGATATTTCTAGAAATTTATAAAATTTATATTAAGAAAAATTATAGTAACATATTAAAGTAAAATTGTGACTAAATTATCTCAAATATAAATTATTATTATAAAAATGTGAAAAACATTTAAAGTGAAGATACAATTTTTCAATTCATTCACCATAACGTTAGATTAAATTTTCAAACAAATGCAGATTTTCACTAGATGTTAAGATATTATTTTTACACTAATAATTAACAATCTTTAAATGTTTCATGCAAACAAAATGTTTGTTGTAATCTAAATTAACACAAACCCAATGAGAAATGATTAGTCGAATCGTCATCGATTCGACATCGATTCGACGAATTTGACATAAATTCGACAACGAATCGACATCGATTTGACCATTATTTCCCACTGGGAAGTTACGTTAATAAATTGCAAAATTTATTCTTTTTGTTTCCGTTATTATGTTAATTATCAAAAAATACATTAGATATAACTTTAGATATAACCTCAAATATTGTCTTAATTTTTACCAAACAAATTCATTCAACTATATTTGCATATTATTTTCATTTATAATTTTAATATATATTTAATAAATATATATATATATATAATACATATTATAATATTTATAATATAAGGATAAATAGTAATAGGAATAATAATTCAAAATTGATAAAAATTTCATTTTTCTACAAATCCAAATTCAATCAAAAAAGTAAAAAGTTGCAAACAACAAGGAGATATAAACACTCTTCCAAAAAAGATAATTTAGATATATTAACTCAATTGTTGCGACAACATCCATATTTTACCATTATTCACAGGTATAATTATCTCTCATGAGAGATGTACATCAATGTATTTATCCCTGGGTCATTTTTCGCAAAAATGTAGCTACAAATTTTCCATAATTTGTGGACGGTTGTTGTTCCATCTCGTTTAAATATTAAGTTCATATAAAAATGTAAAATATGTTAAATTATTAAAAATAATGCATATTATATAATATTAATCTTATCAAACTTAATATATATAACAGTATAAATATAATATCAAATCAGTAATTTATCACATATATACACTACGAAAAAAAACAATGTAGTATCATTACAGTGCGTACAATATTACTTCTAATATTGTGTACACTGTGATAATACTACATGCGCTATAAAAAAACCAACAATGTATTATTACAGTGCATACAATATATTACAAGTAAAATTATAGTAATATTACAAGTAATATTGTACGTGCTGTAATATTACATTGTTTCTTTAAGGTATGTGTATATCATAAATGACTGATATGATATTAATTATGTACTACTATATTAATTGTAATATAACACAATTACAATACATATATCAAAAGATTCATTATATATAATAATCAATAATTAATAAAGATAAGTAATTCTTAATTATTTTGAATGTAGCATTATAATCTAATTAAAGTAATTTTCTTTAATTTGATTAATTTTTGAGAGTACACACACTTTTAAGGTAAAAAGTCGTGAACTTATTTTGAAGATAAGAAGCTTATTGTATATCCATTGCATTGCAATGTTAAACACTATAAGTTATGAATCTGATTAACTAATATAAATTGCTTTTATTATAAGCTAACCTTCAACTGTCAATTCATTTAATGAACTTTTAATATTGCTTGCTTCATCATTTTTGTATTCCTTCATAATATCCGTAAGTAAGATATAAGGCATGTTCCGCATGA